CTGAAGAGAATGTCCAAGTCTCAACTCCTCAGAAAAAAAATTTTTGAAACAAGTCCCTATTCACACTCATACTACCATCTTCTAATTAAAACTATCTTCCCTTTCAAAACTACTCTGCCCATAATTTCCTACAATCACCTACACTAAAAGCTCATCCTTCCTACAGGTTAACAATTGTCCTTATAATTCACCTTCACAATCTCTGGAATGTATTTCTTCTTTTCCTTTTCCAATGCTACCATTCTAGCTAGGCTTTGTTTACTATGAGGGCCTTCTAACTGACCTCCTGCCTCCAATTTCATTTTATTAGAAATTGGCAATAGAGGCCATGCACAGTAGCTCATGCCTGTAATCTCAGCACCTTGGGGGGCTGAGGTGGGAGGATTGCTTGAGGCCAGGATTTCAAGACTAGCCTGGGCAACATAGTGAGAACTGTCTCTGTAAAAAAATAAAAAATAAAAAAATTACTTGGGTGTGGTGGTACACGCCTATAGTCCTAGCCACTCAGGAGGCTGAGGTAGGAGGATCACTTGAGCCTGGGAGTTCTGGGAGTTCAAGGTTGCAGTGAGCTATGATCATGCCATTGCACCACTGTACTCTGTATTCCAGCCTGGGCAACAGAGCAAGACCCTCTCTAAAAAAAAAAAATGTGTGTGTGTGTGTGTGTGTGTGTGTGTGTGTATATATACATATATATACATAGACAATAGAAAGACCATCATTAATAAATCAATGTTTGTAAACTGCAAAATTTACAAGCATTCATAAAATGCAAATTTTACAAGCTTTTGCATACACTGACAAGACATAATGATTCATTTATAAGTCAATCTCAGTGCAGGCAGTATTTGATCAACAGTAGAAAAAACTTGAGTTAGGACTGGAAATAAATGAACTTAAAAAACAAAAACTTGACCTTTTCTTTTGTCAGAAGTTATTAACTTAATAAACAAAAATATTCAAAAAATTATAAAAGTGTTGTTTTGAAATGGTTTTACCATTTCTTCATTTATAAAAAAAACAAACAAAAAACCAAGTGGTTGCTTTCTGCTTTACATTTCCTGACTTACAGGGTGTGATTTCTTCACATAAAACTTCCAATTTTTGGCCAGGCGTGGTGGCTCATGCCTGTAATCCTAGCACTCTGGGAGGCCAAGGCGGGAGGATTGCTTGAACTCAGGAGTTTGAAACCAGCCTGAGCAAGAGCGAGACCCCGTCTCTACTATAAATAGAAAGAAATTAGCCAAACAACTAAAAATAGAAAAAATTAGCTGTGCACGGTGGCACGTGTCTGTAGTCCCAGCTACCTGGGAGGCTGAGGCAGGAGGATGACTTGAGCCCTGGAGTTGGAGGTTGCTGTGAGCTAGGCTGATGCCACGGCACTCTAGCCCGGGCAACAGAGTGAGACTCTGTCTCAAAAAAAAAAAACAAACAAACAACTTCCAATTTTTGCTTTAATTCACAGCTCACTACTAAAATATTAGATTTACAATTTCTTCTAGCCACAGGAGTGGACTTTTTAAAATTGTCACTTTAACTTGAACTACTTGGATAACTTGCCCCATTTAGGCTAGGAAAAAATATAAATGAGACATCTAAATACTTGAGACTGAACTCTTGATTCTAAGATCCGTATTTTCAACATCCCAGGCCTCTGACCATAATATAATCAACAAATAGATACAACTCCAGGAAACATCAGATGAAATGTCTATATTCATGTTGTCCTGAAAGCAGGAACAGATTTAATTATCACTTACTTATAATAACCACACTGGTTTCCCACACCCCAGTTCTCACCTGTGAGGTGAGCCAGACCAAAAAGAGCATATCAGACGGACTACAGCCTATGTATACTAGAGTTTGTGCTGTAGGTGAGGAACCCCTAAATATGAATCTGGCTGGTAATACAGGACAGCTGTACAGAAGGCCTCCTCTCCTCCAGAGAGAGGAAGAGAAATCTTACTTTGTTAGTGTAAACAAATTCTACTCGGGAAGGATCTTACCTTTCGGGATATAAATGTATGTCTCTAGGGCAAGACAAGACTAGTGTCTCCAGATTAACAACTGGAGATGTCTTCATGGTCCCGGGTCTTATCCCCTCTTGAAATGTGCAGACTGAAGAAGTACCTCTGTGTTATGGACTGAATTGTGCCTCCTCAAAATTGGTACGTTGAAGCCCCAAACCCCAATGACTGTATTTGGAGATAGGGTCTTTAAAAAGGTAATTAAGGCTAAGTGAGAGCATAAGGGTGGGGCCTTAAGCTGACAGGACTGGTGTCCTTCGAAGAGGAAGAGATACTAGGGATAGATGTGCACAGAGGGAGGGTCATGTGAGGACACAGCAAGAAGGTGGTCGTCTCAAACCAAGAAGGGAAGCTTCAGGAGAAACCCAACCTGCTGACACCTTGATTTTGGATTTCCAGCCTCCAGAATTGTGAGAAAATAAGTTTCCACTGTTTAAGCCACCCAGTCTGTGGTATTTTGTTATGGCAGTCCTAGCAAACTAACATACTCTGGATGGTTTCTCACTATCTATTCAGTCATAATTTAACTTCAAAGGCTTCTCTTTCAGCATAGGTTCCAAATTTCAGTAAAATTTGCTCAGAGAGCTCTAACTGTACAGAAACATAAAATATTTTCTCTACGGTTTCATATTGTCTTTTAAAGAAACTCTTCAAAATTGTAACCACTAAAGAAGCCTATACCCAAATACAAATGTTTTAAAAATGAGATTTTGTAATAAAATTTCCCAGTGAAATTCTTTATTATTTATTTAGAGACGGAGCCTTGCTTTGTTGCCAGGCTGAAGTGCAGTGGTGTGATCACAGCTGTGAAATTCTTAATAATCCCAAACTATCCAAGTATTATCTCTTCTCAAAGGGCAAATGTCATGCCACTACCTGCCCTTCCCTTTGCTCAGGTTATTAAAGATACAAACAGGCCAGACATGGTGGCTCTCACCTGCAATCCCACCACTTTGGGAGCCCTGTCTCTAAAAAAAATTAAAATTAGTGGGGCATAGTGACCCCTGCCTATATCCCTAGCTGCTTAGGAGGCTGAGGCAGGAGGATCACTCAAACTTGGGAGTTCAAGGTTGCAGTGAACTATGATTGTGCCACTGCTCTCCTGCCTGGGCAACAGAGCAAGACTGTCTCTCTAAAAAGAAAGATACAAACAATAATTGAGGATGGCTTCATTAAAAAAAAAAAGGAAGAAAGAAAAGGTTTGGTGGTAAAGATATGTGACTTGAAATTACTGTAGTTGGTACTAATTATGCCAATCTACTATAATTTTAACATGACTGATTTGAAAGTAAATTTAGCTGTTAATAAAAATGAAAACAAAGTATTTCATTAATGTTTTATTTTTTAGAGATCGATTGTGTAACAATCATTTTGAGTATTTAATCCTTTATGTAAAAATCTGGAGAATTTATTTCAAATATATTCCAAATACTTAAACATTTCATCAATATTAAGGTTTAATGCATTCTTTTAATAAATTAACCAAATATAACTAAACATTTCACACATACTCAAAACACTTAAACAATGCAAAACTAGTAAGGCTAGTGCTAGATCTTCCAAAAACGATAACAAATGATTGTGTGCTGTATATTCTTAATTCAAACCTGTACATGGGCATAATAATTTCATAAAAATGTCAACAATGACAGCTTTCAACATTTAGTATTTTTTTCAATTTACACTAATTTTTGTAAATGCAGTATCAGAGGACAATATAGACTCATCAATGTAACTTGAAAGTGGTAATTTATCAATTTATCAAATATACCAAACTAACTTTTTAAAATATCAAATTTTGTTTCAGTGTTATATTTTCCTAACTTTATAGGTACATGTGATAAAAAATCTCAATTTCATTAACTATGACTATAAAATTAAATTTTTCCAACATTTAGGTCATTTCAAGGAAAATAAGAATAGGCTTTAGTATTTGTATTTTATATTAGTGACTGATTAATTTTTCACTGACTAGGGTACTAAATTTTAGAGACTTACGATAATTCCCTATGAATTATACCAGTACCTTGTTGCTTTCAGTCCTGCTACTTAATCATTATTCTTCACACAGTGATATAAACTTGTATTTTCTATATTGACAATAAAAAACTATTAAACTGTAGCAACTTTTTTCTAAATGATTCAAGACTTCATATGAGCTATGCAAATCAATATTGCTGATATTTTAATATGATCTCTTTAATGATACACTTGGGCAAAATTTTTAAAAATTTTTTTAAAGTGATGATTAATCATAGAATTTTCCCTCTGCTTAATGAAACTATTTTCTCCTATAAAATGCCCATTTCCCTTCCCCATAATAAAACAAACGAACATCTTTAAAAGCAATCTTTATAATCCAATGGTCAAATAAAAGCAAACAAACATACAATAAAACAAACAAACATCTTTAAAAGCAATCTTTATAATCCAATGGTCAAATAAAAGCAAACAAACATACAATAAAACAAACAAACATCTTTAAAAGCAATCTTTATAATCCAATGGTCAGATAAAAGATTCTATTACTTAAGGGAGAGGGTATGAATCCTGTACATTAATTAGGCTGCCCTGACATGGGACCTGTCTCCAACAAAACAGAATTCCCGGAAGGAAAATTAGCTCTCCATGCTGATTCTGATTTTACCTTGCTAACAAACTGGGGGAGTAAAATGAAAACTCTAATAGTGGTTTTGACTGATAGTAAATGGAAGAGCTCTCAGTCCCAAACCAAATAGTGATTACATTAAAAATTTGGCACTGTCAAATCAGGCAGATAGATATAAGCTGAAGTAGAAAAGAACATGGGCTATAATAGGTATTTTAAATCTTCTCTAAGAGAAAATAAAATAATTATGCCTTGCTATCTACCAAAGACATTGGTTAAAGAAAGTCTCAGCAGTTACAAAATCACCTTCCCTTCTGTAACTAAAATGGTTCTTATTAAATACATTAATCCTAGTTTTAATGGAATTATTTTAAAGGTTTATTTTCTTTCTGTAATACTAAGGTAAAATACATTTTGGAAATCGGCATGGAATGTTCCCACTAAGTCGTTTCTTTATGTTTAGTAGGGTCTGTGTTATATAGCTTTAGTCATTCTTTCAACTACTTGGAAAAACATAATCTTCCAAAATACAAAAAGAAATTTAGTCATCTTTTATATTACATAATGATCTCAACCATTTAATACAAAGCAACATACTTTTTTGGTTTTCTGTTAACAAGGCAAAATAAAAGTCATTCATCGGGAAAAAAAGAGTTCAATGACTAAGATAAGTCTTTTGTAGGATATAATTCACCCTTATGGTCTCTCTTTTACCATAACGTCTTATCCACTCCTTCAAGGTTTCAAGTTCAACACAGTACTACAAACGCAGAGATTTTCCAGTTTTCATCATTGATTTTTTTTCAACATTCTTCTCAGGAATCTTTAAACAATTTCATAACTGTTATTTCAGATTTGTGATTATGAATCATAATGTAGCCCACTTTCAAAACCACGATTTTTGGATCACGGCCCATTCAAGATTTTACTCTGTCCAGAAAAACAAAAAATTACATATCCAGAGTTTTACAAGCAATTCAGGGGTTTAGGGCTCCAGCCCCATTGACATCTATTTTGGATAAAAATCCTTGCAATAAAGGGATGAAACGCAACAATAACTTTAGATTGTGGGTTTAGATTTCAAAGGAATAACATAAAAAATTAGAAAAAAATCTATTTAAGACGTTGAACAAACTTATGATTGATCAAGCAAAATTAAAATATTTACAATGGAGAGAGTTTGTGGTTTTAGTTTTAGCTAATCTTATAAGAACTTTTCAAACTCAGATGTATACATGTTGCAACCAATGCACATATAGAGATACTAATATAAAGAGATATATGCTCAATCTAATATTAGCCAATAAATATATAATGCATTAACAGGAGGAGTTGATATCAACACTTGAGAGTAGAGTTTAATTTATCAGGATCAATCATTCAAGAAAAATACTCACATACAAAAATAAGGTAGTATTTTTTAGTACTAAAGATTTACAATAAACAGATCCTCAGATTCAGGTAGATCACTTTTAAATGCCATTGGTGATCAATGTATGCAACATAGTTGCACATAGCTATTAAGAAGTCTTTTTTGGCATGCATTACAAAACTGTACCCAAATTACCAATGAAATATAATTAAAAATAATTTTTTGTTTATTTCTAAAGCAAATGTAATTAATGGCTTTCACCTTATAGTTAAAGGCTTAAAATATGTTTTAACACTTCAAGTCATGAAAGATGTATAGACTTAAAACTATGTTTGAAAGTATGTATAATCTGTAATAATATAAATGGGAAGAAATAAAAGGCTGTTATGGCAATCTGAGCTTCTTAATCCAAAAATTAAACATCAAAATACATTTCATATGTGAGAGTTAAGTGGGCTCTTTTCTTTATTCAAGTAAACATTTTGATTATAATACATAATAATGGACAATCATGTGACAAAGTACTGTAGTCTATGGTTTGGTGTGGCCTCCTTGCCTCTAGGATAAATATTTTTCCAGGTGATTCTTCAGAATCTGACATCGATGCCCAACAAAGGCTTTCCAACGGCAGTGCATGAGTTCTAGAGGCCACTGCCCTCTATCTTTCTTCAGATGCTGTGTGCCATTTTCTCCCACCCATTTTATTCCCCATTATTTATAAAAGCCCCATTCTAAAATTCAACCTATCTTATAAAGTTAACAAAATCAAGAGTTAGTATATATTTTCCCACAAAGATAAAATTATTAAGACTCACAACTTAATCTCTATTTTTCTCTAATTTGTGAAGGGTTTATATAATCTCTAATGCATCAGAGTAATATATAACACAAAATATGCAAAGAACCTTATCACTGGGTGTAATATGTTGGAAATTGCTAAAGTACTAAGAAACTTAATTCTTCTGGAATAGCAATTGTCCACTGGAAATTATACTTTACAAACAAAAGATTGTGGGTTTTTTTTGTTTTTTTTTTTTTGAGACAGAGTCTCACTGTGTTCCCCTGGCTAGAGTGCCATGGCGTCATCCTAGCTCACAGCAACCTCAAACTCCTGGGCTCAAGCGATCCT